CCGGTATCGTACTGTGCTCAGATATGGAGAGGCAAGTGATGAGATAGATAGGGATTCAAGATGTCAAATAACCAAGAGGCCAAAGCTTCTTACCCTTCCTGGTACTATTTATGCCAAAATAAATACTTTTTTTACCTCCGACGGTAATGAGTGCCCGGACTCAAAACCCCTGTCCATCCCATCACTAATGTCCACCCCCGAGCACCATACGGCACTGGCAGCGCTTGTACGAGTACGAGTTAAGGCTCAACTTTTCTGCATCTCCCGCCTTCGCCCAATCCCGTCCAGAAAAATTCCTTTCGCTCCCCCGTCACCCCCTTTTCATTCACCAACAGCACCACCCCAAATCACCAACAACAACAGCAACAAGAACAACAACAACAACAAGAACGGTGCCGTGGACAAGACAACAAGGGTTCTGTGACATATGGGAACCCGGCCATTACTATAAACGGGAACGTTGGTAATGTGACGGAACAGCTACAAGAATGTGTGGAACTGCGGGATATCGGTGGGGAGCGAGAAGAGCCGGACTATGGAGTGGTGGTCGTCTCCCTTGGCACCTCGGGAAAGGCATCAGGCTGTGAGTGAGGGCCGGGCGCCGTAGATGGAGTACGAGACTGGCTTCGAGCGAGCGGATTTGAGAAATGGCATACTGGTACAAGCGAGGACTGGGTTGTCAATCCTGTGTTTTCCTGTTGCGGGGGTCCAGAAGCGGGAAAGACACTGAGGTGTGTGAAAAAGTAGCTCGATTGGGATACTGGTAGCGGGTAAAGCTGAGCGCGTAAACATCAGCTCTTTTATCACAGGTACACTGCGCGATGCGGTTGATGAGGACAAACATGGCCGTCGCTTATATGTACCGCGACTCCCATGCCCATAAAGAGCTATCCGCGCAAGTCTCTCATCTTTGCCAGGGGGATTTATCGGCATTGACGCTTTGGATGAGTTCCCGCAAAACTCCCCGCGAACTTTGGGACTCTTTACGGTATGATATATTGTCCAGGAATGCCCAAGCACTTGGCTGTCCATTACTGTGGGCCATACATTCGGAGAAGAAATGGAGAAATATTTCCCGGCGTATCCCGATCTAACCCCATAAAGCCCACCAAGAAGGATATTAGGGAATATCTTGCTATGAAGTTGAAAAAGGATTCGGAGCTAGATGCAATGGATACGGAATTGGAGACCGATGTTCTTACAGTGAACATTGGTCGGGTCTAAGAAGTCCATTAATAACAGCATCTTCAATTTTATTTCGTACTCGGCCGGAATCTCCGGGGTGTATGAAGATAGTGGATTCAAGGTTATCAGCTAACAATGGTCTCTAGATTTCTCCCCATTCCCCCCATCATGGATACAATTCTAGAGGATGCGACAACCTCAGAGAAGGCAAACGCTTCAGAAGATGACCAACGATGGCGCATACAGCACAACATTGGGTCGTACCAGAGAGCAGGAAGGAAGCGAAGTGAAGCTTGGGATGGAAGCATTGATGTGGATTTCACATTCCGGGAGGCTGGTAAGAGCAGGAGAGTTGATTAGCTTTGGGAGTGGGAACTATAAACCCTAATGCTGTAGTGTCCCGTTGATAAGGACCTTATTGAGCTACGCTTTAGGACTTGTTGCGACTAGTGAGCAAGTATCTGCAGTCTATCTCACGCGCTTCACTTTAAGAGTATGATATCTTGCGGTATCCCCCGCTTATTCGTCATACCTTGCTCAACGATGGCGGAAATATGCCTCACCTATGTCAACTTTCAGTCCATCTGTGGGGTTTCCAACTACTCTCGGTACTATCCCACTGACAGCGCTGTTCCTCCAATATGCCTCATGTCGCCGGCGATTCCATGCTAGGGAGGTGACGGAAGGTGCGAAACGCCCCGCATTCGACTTCAACGGGATGCGAACCACATGTCGGCTGACATCCGCCTACGTGAGTGGGGTGTTGACTTCTTGTCCCGCGGGGACCACTACCATAGTAGACATCCTGATCTTCGGAGACTTACTGGGCTACCCTGCATCGCATACATAGGTTGCCGAAATAACGGCTGCCGTGGTGGACATGAAATATGGGACCTGAGGCCTGATCCCAACGATGCAATGTCATTAATATGGGTTACCAAATGCGGGGATTGCACACTCATACATGCCGCGAAGGCTGGACATGAGGACCTGGTTAGGCTGCTCCTGAAACGGGAATATATCATTCTGGATTCGTCAGATGGATGGCCGGACACCGCTCCCATAGGTCGGCCAGCGGGACCTTGGGGGGGCAGAGAAGATGCTCTAGGGATGGCGTGATGTCAACCTCGATTTGTCGTGTAAGGATGGCCGGACACCACTCTCACGCGCTGCCGGATCCGGGCATATTGGTGTGGTGAGGTTGTTATCAGAACCAGGGCCTTCCAGTCACAAAACATCACGTAACAGCGGCGTGATGAAACAAATCTCCGTCTTTGCTGTGAGTGCTCAAGAGAAAGTAAGATTTGGTCCGGTATCGCAACGAGAAGGGATTCTTTCCGACACAAGACACAAGATCGCTGGAGTCGCTCCCCTTTCTCACTCAGATGATCCTATATCAAATCAGTCTAAAGCACCCTCAGCATTCGTTCTCATACCCACCCACGCAACCGTCACTGCCCCGGTGCTGCCATCTTGAGAAGCCTTCAAGGCCACTAAAACGTTATAGAGCGACCCGGCCGGCTTTGTGTCGCTCTAAACGTCACATCGACATACTCACCTCCTTCCCTCTACATCTCCACCGCCTAGTGGGAAATACTCGCGCGGCCGAGTTGAAGCCTGATGCCTTCTTACAGCAGTGATCGCCTGACCAGCAACGAGCCCGTAGGGCAAGCAACACAGTTAATAATCACAATAATCACATATGATACAAAAAATAATAATCTAGTTTTATCCAATTTCTTTCGGCACATAACCTGACAAACTATCGCATATCTATATAACAAATCTAGCAATTGAAATTATTGTTTCCATTACCAAGTAACACCCTTCGAAGCTTCTTGTGAAATGCTCGACACTTTTGATGAACCCCATCCCGAAGAGCTTTGCACCTCCTCACGAGTGCATGTTTTTCGTCCACATGCCACAGCCTATTTTCTACGATATATGGAATTACATCACTTGGTTTGACGCTTTGGGGGAACGAATTCATCGGCCCCAGCAATCACTACCATAAGGGTGCTGTCAAGCTTCAACTCGGCCGCGCGAGTAGCACGCATATGCGCTCCATGAAAATCGGTTTCCGGTCTTTAATGCACCAATTTATTTCCTCGCAAGGCATCTGACGAATTCCTGAGCTCTGAGCTGTTGTATTCAGAACTGGGATACACCCCAGAGGGGGGGGTTTCCCGTGGGTCACTTCTCTCTACCCGTATGATTCCCTTTCCCCCCACCATCCCCTTCTGTTTTATCTTGTACATCCCCTTCTACGAGTGGATGCCGGTGGGAGCGAGTTATGATACCGGCACCCCGAGTTTCTTTGCACCTTTTGCTGGTTCATCGTCACAATCACCACGTGAGTCTGGCAAAAGACTTAATATAAAATATGGTTCTTTCTTCTAATTTTCCTTGCTGATAAACAAGAGAAATAATATGAAGTGATTTGGGGGGGGGGCTGTGTCTAGGTCATCCACTTCAAGTATTGAGATCAACATTCAGTCTAGCCCAACTAAAGTAAAGAAATGAGGGGAACATTCCGGGATAGGAATTCTATCTAGGTGCGTAAATCTTTTACCAAAAAAAAAAAAAAGAGTGAGGACATGGATCACTAAAGGATCTCGCTGCCCGGCAGTCCTCACACAAGGGAACACTAAGTTGTTTACATCCATAATCATAACTGCGCATTCATTCGCCTCTGGTTCCATATGGGCCCAAATTCTATCGCACCCGCGGTCAACGGATGTTCCAATTCGCCTAGCCGCCGAGTGAGATTACATGAACACAAAAGGTTCGATATTGTAAAAAAAAAAAAGAACCCATACGATCTCGCGCGTGTGGGGGGGGGGAGGTTAAGGCAGATTAGGCGCACGATAATTAGATGGTTGACAAAGATTGATTAGCAGATGGCGGGTACAGAAGCTATACATACACACACACACAATATACCATACTATGAGGGTTTTTGTGAAGGCCATGAAGCATCATCACCATTGTAACGCAGCCGCAAATGGCTCGTGAGCGAGATCCCTACCTACCTACCGCAGGGGACTCTGACGGAAGAGAAAATACGCTTATCATTAGAGGTTGGGAGTATCAAACCCCCTGTCTATCGAGACAAGAGCGAACGGAATATGCGCAGCGGCTGATAGCGCATTTATCTTCTATCAGATCCCTTTGCGAAGCGGTATGATACCCTTACGGATGAGTGCCATATCACACCTCCAACTCCATCACTTTGCTTTGCTGGACCTGGACCGAGCTTCGAAGGAGGATCATGGACTCCAACAAGCCGTTGGATTATCCCCCCCCCCGCCCCCTATCTGGGCTCACTACGTACTTGCTATATCACTAGCCCGGGTGAAGGTATAATCGCCGCTGGTCTGTAAGGGGAGGTATTTGGGTCGCGGTACGGTGCGCATCTCCTGAGAGCCGACCCCTCACATTGTGGGGCTGGTGTGTTCTAGATGTGATAAATTCTGCTATCGTACTTGGGGTGAAAAGCTTTTCACCTCCAGGGCGAGCTTGAATCGGGTATCTTGTCTAAGTGACGTAGGTGAAGGTGGTGTTCGGGTCCGGATATGTTGTATAGTTTGTTGTATGAGAAGCCATTGCAGAGACGTGTCTGATAGCAAATACGTGCCTTAATTATTGAGGGTATGCTGATATATGTTGAATATTTTCAAAGACTTAGTATTGGATCCTAAGAGATGAAGGAGGGCTTTAGAACCTTCTTTGGGGAGCATCTAGACTATAATACCCTAATCACCCGAGTACTCCCTACCATCGATCGGTAACTAAATTGTAATAGTCAGAGTCCTATTTAAATCTTCTCCCCCCCCCATGCTATGCTAAACAATCCATCATATCACTAAATTTACAACATAAATTAATTCCACCTCACCCCTTTTACAGGTTAACCCATTACCACATCTCTATCTCCCCTCAGCCCTTCCCTCATCCCTTGTCATAATCAACAACTACCCGCTTAACATATATGCACACCCGCGCCCTACCATTTACTACCCTATAAGAATAAAGTGCAAGCATGAAATCTCTACTCCACTTTACAGTGGGAGGAATATTAAGAGAAATAGAAAGAAAATAAGGTTCTAAAACGCCATCCCAATGCGCCCGCACAAATCCAAGTAAGTGGCAAACAAAAAGTGGTTGATTGAATGGTAGAAAAAAAGACTAAAAAATTAATTGTTGAAAATCAAACCATTATAAAGAAAAATATTAGGGGGAAATATTAGGCTACAATTCCCTGAGTCCGTTGTTTATACCTTCCTTTCAGCAGCGATGAGGCTTCTGAATCTGAAGCTATACGTGTCTCGAGGGTCTGTAGGGTTTGCAAAGCGGAGGATATGGTTTCTGTTGCTGTTACTGTTTCTGTTAGCTGGAAGAGCGAATTCAGAGGACAGAAAAGGGCGGGGTGTTACCAGAAATGAGCCCCCCCTGCGCCTTTTTTAATGGCGCGGACAGAGTAGAGGTGGAAGACTCATTGGCGGAGGCTTCCTTGTCTTCGCCTTTTCGTTTGCGGACGCCATTTGTCGCTGGCTCCGTTATTGCCGGTGGTGAGAAAGTGTGGATCCGGAAGCCCGTACCCAGGTCAATCTCCACACCATTTTCTGGCGTCGTAGGGGTTTCGAAGATTGACTCATCCGTTTCCACCTGTGATAGTGCTACCTGACCGGCGGAAAGGGTCGATGTTATGGTGCCACGAAGTGAAGTATATGTTTTCAGTGCAGCAAGATACGCTTCCACAAGTGTGTGCGCATCTTCGCTAGACTCTATGGGTAGCTCCGGGGGGTTTTTTGGACTTGCGGGGGGTGTGATTTCGGGACTGCGCGTAGATGAGGAAGAAGTACTCCCGGGGGGGAAGTCCTTCCCGGGGGTTATAGTAGCGCCGTTGGGCTTTGGGTGCTGCTCGTCCTCGTCGATGCCGTAGTCTGGCTCACCACCACAGCTGTTGGCAACAAGCGTTGTACCAGGTCCACCGCTCACCGAAGAGTTAGGTCCGAACTTTGCACTCCCGTTCCCATGGAAATTATTCACGCGCTCGTAAAATAACATGAATACTTTCCCAATGTTGAGGACGGCACTTTCTTCGACGACACTGTACGGATGTGAGCATCCCAATAACAAGGAAATATTAGGCAGGGTTAGGGTTACGAACTAGACCTCGTGATCACTAGTTTTGAACCAGGTGTTGTGGAGTTTCCGGTAGCAAGTGTAGTGCCCGTTGTGGTGACCGCCGTGATGTACCACTACGCTCTTTAGTTCGTAGAGGACTCCCTCAGGGCCGTTCTCTCGGATGAAGTCTTTTTGTTGCATCTTATTGGCGTTCCCAGAGTCCTGCTGGCTTACTATGGGTTTCTCCACCCATCTGGGTACACGCCCGGACATGGGTAGTGCTGGATCCACGGTTAGGCCCCAGCTTCCGCCTGCAGTATCATGTCGTGTGACCGCTCCGGATTTGCCAAGGTCAAGGCGTGCGGGGAATGATACCACAGCGTGGTTCTTGCCGGTCAGGCCGGTCATTATGTCATACTGGCTCCTATTCAAATGCAGGACTAGTATTGGCGGGGGACGAGCAATCATGGTTTGTTTCGTCTTTGTCGACGAGATCTTCTGCTTTGGAGAGATCTTTACTCCGGGCACATTTGGGGAAAAGTTGTCTTCCTCTATCGCTCGCGCGAGAGCAGTGAGACGCTGTTGCATTTCGAGCCTGGTTGGTTCTTGGAGGGTCGGAGATGAGGTTTCGGATCCGGCAGGTGGCTCGAGGAAGTTTTTGAGTCTGTTGCAGAGGGACAAAAGTGTGCATTTGTCGCAATCTACTTCGGGGATTTTCTCTATTGCTGTGAATTCTGATAGACACTCTTCCAGAGAACAGGACCACTTGTGCGGCAACTTAGTGAGGCTCAAGTACGAAAACGGCGGGAACATCTACCTGAGATGGGAGAGATAGCGACAAACTAGTAAATGGCTGCAAACTTATAGCTTCCACATATCCACAATGCAGACAGCCTACTCTCTGAGCAAACAATCCCTCAAAAGGGCTTCGCAAGTCCTTCGCAACGGTTACATCAGAGTCAGCGCCCGAAACCGGCGCCTTCTCCTCGCCGCCGACTCCCTCCAACTCCCGTACACTTTCCAACCCCCTCGCTGCACTTTCCTTGCGCCGGCTCAGAAACCTCGAAACCTCCTTCTCTAAAGATCCCGTAAGCTTCTGAAAAAACTCCTGCGCATCTTGTTGTTCGTTGTAAACCCATCCGGAATTATCCGTCCCCCGTACGATAATCGGCGAAGGTGTAGACGCGCGGGGACCAGAGGTAAGCGTATTGAGGTCGGTGATTAGCGAGATAAGAGCCCCGGATGGCGTCAGCCCATCCTCCAGTTCCGAGAGCGAGAGCAACGCGAGATGCGGTTTGAGATGCGAGAGCGAAGCCATAGCCTGGTAGATTGTTCGTTAAGTCAACACAAAAGACGCCAAACCACGCGCACTCGAGAAATCACCAGAACCCCTTACCTGCAAAACCGAGTTCTGGTAACAGGTATTCCCGGAATTCCACAATCCCCCGATCAAACCTTCCCCATCCGGTGAGTATCCCGCAGGGACCAACTGTCCGCCCACGAGACTAGCAGCACGATTCCGAACTCGAGCCACAATTCCCAAACCACAATCCGTTGAGATCCCAAAGGCGCTTTCCAGCGTCTCACGAGCCCTAGGACCTAGTAATAGCCCCGGAATCATTACGAAGATCAGCTCCCAGAGCGGTGGAAGCCCAACTAGTTCATAAAGAAAGTTGTAGACGACGAAAACACCCGCGATAATCAGAGAGACAAGCAGTGACAGCGAGACCTCGGAATCGACGGAGGAAGCAGGAACAGCAGAGCGGGGCATTCTTAGGGGGCTCCCGGCAAGGGAGCGGGAGCTAGAGCGGTGGGGAGTATTTATTTCTTATGGTTTTTTTCCTCTTGATCTTTGTATATTGGGGAGTCGTCTTTTTTATTGAGGGGGGAGGAGAGTGATGCCTGCTGTTTGAAACTGATGATCGTTGGCCGTTTCCCATGGTATGGGAATAGGTTACCGGTAATAGGTTGCTCCATCTAAGAAGCTTTAGTAACACAGGCCCGACCTGGTGGCCTGCAGGCCCCCCATCGATTTTAGCGTTTGGGATCGTATTTATACCATTTTGTATAATACCGTATAATACGGTATAAAAACCATATTTTATTACTAAAGATGTATTTTATTCGATGTTCAAAATAGGTATGAAATATTTCATGCAAGGTACAGTAGTACAGTTATGTAGAAATTGGGAATTTCTACTTTTAATTGTAAAGTACAAGGTTACAAGTATGAGCTGGTTGCTAGCTAGGAGTTCTCATCAATATTGTTATATACCTTGACCTCTTTGATCCTCTAGTTAGAAGATTAAGTGATTGGCCATTGTCATAATTTTGAAAATGATTGTACTCTATTATAGGAGATCTCATATAATTAGCAGTTAGTTCTTCTGCTTGGTTCATTTTAAGTACTGTCTCTTCTCCATCACCTTCATCCTCTAAATTGTCCATAATAATATTAGTAAAATGTGTAAGTAAAAAGAGTGCTTCAATTAAAAAAAATTTCAATTATAATACCTTCGTTACTCCAGTTTCAATCTAGTCCTAGAGCCTAACAATAATATCTTTTGACTGATGTGGTTTACTAGTATTAAAATACATTACATGCTAGTACAAATAAATATAGGTAAGTTTATTAGTATATGTAAAGCAGAGCCTATTGTAGACCTTGCTGTGAATAAGATTCTGGGTGGAGAAGGAATACTTACTGTGGACTGAATTGGCTTTGGTATCACAGATTGGACTGTGATAGGAGGAACATCTACATTGATAATATTTCATATATTTTGAATATATCATGTAGTGTGACGAGTAATGAGTCATATATGTAACTCATATGTATATGAGCTATGAGAATTATGTAGACAGGGTAGACAGTACTTGTTAGGAATACCAGGATCCGATACCTAAGAATGACTTTAAATAGGATAACCTTACTCGGAATCAGAATACCTGGTCTCCAACACCATTTTTCGACCTCCTTATGGGGCCCACATGTTATTACATATATCAATCTCAGTTACATCCTGTGACTATAATGCCACAAAATTGAAGTTGGCAGAATAATACTCTATACATCGCCATTGTCCATCCAACAGGATCCTGTTTGTAGGATATATGAGGGGGACCTTTGGCTAGGTTTAGGAAGAAGACTGAAGTAAATCCATTAACTACTCAGAGAGTTAATAGGCTTTAAAGATGGAACATCTTTGGCATGGGCTGTAAGTAATAGGACATTTTCATGTGCAGAGATGGTATTGAATGATAAAGGATCTTAACAAGAGACTAATACATTTGTATCTACCCAATAATAATCAGAAGTGACTAGAACTCTGAGGAACACAACCATAGAAGCCAATGGACTTCACGAAGTGTTACAACTAGGTTTTGGAATATGTTGTGGCTTGTAGGATGACTCTCAATACTACAATAATAATTGAAACCCTGCTACCCAGAGCAACTAAGGGTTGTTGACAGAGTAATTATTTATCAATCTAGTGGAATAGCTTCCTGCGAATTAGTCGGAAGTCCTCCAAAAGAAATCTATCAGGTGGATAAGGAGTTATGAAGGTTTGAAGTCAGGTGATATAGAAAGGTTGCAATTATGACTACCTTCGCAAATACAATCTGTAGATGAAACAGATAATTTTATCAATGCTAAAGACAATTAGGACCAACTCAGTTCAACTTGAGAACTAGACCATAAGTCTAAAGACTCTAATAATCAGATAATTATTATTTGGAACTGTATGGTTTCCAGTTATTTATATTGTAATTGCTGAAGAGTGTGGTGATTTTCAGGATTTCCTAGTATTTGTACCTTTTAAGAATATCTGATGTTATGAGTTGTAATTAGGGGGGTACATAGTTGTATAATAAATAGATGTAGTCTGTAAATACTCAGACACAGAATATAAATATTAATATGCTGTCTAAGCTTTAGACATCATCAAGCAATGGGGAAGAGACCTTAACAATATAATATTGTCTTTACAATTCAATTCTACTTCACCTATTTTACTTCATGCTTAGTAGTCATATATGAAATAAGTGAAGTCCAAGTCTTCCTTGACAATCTCAAGCTACAGAAACGAATTTTGGTTGGCCTAAACAATACTGAAGTTTATCAGGTTATCTCTGCTTAACAGTATATTTGTAATGATCCCTCCTTGGATAGTTAGTTCTTGGTGATAGGGAACGATACTTCTCTTCTTTTATTTCTTTTCTTAGTCTTATGATAGCACTAGGCTGCTGCCTACGTTACCGATAGTACAAGACCTCTGTCTTCTATCGGGAATGCCTATTATAAGCTTTCTCTAACACTTCTTCATGAAGAGCTCTCCTTGGTGTAACGATAACATTGAAATAAAGATAAAGATCGTAAAGGTATTTTATATTCATTAAGGTAATAAGTAGGAAAAGTACTTAGAACAAAGCGTGAAGAACCTATCTTCCTCGGCCATATCGACCTCCTTATATAGTGTTCTTCACACCCGTAGTCATGTGACCCAAAGTGGTCACATGTGCAAAACCAAATCATAACAAACTAATCATGCGACCAAAGTGGTCACGTGCTTGAAACCCATGACCTCATAGCAAGGTCATGTGCAAAACTCATAAACCGATTATAACGTAATAAACAAGTCATATGACTCGACTAAGTCACATGCGTAAAACCTACGACCTCATAATGATGTCATGTGCGAAACATAAATCATATGTGCAAGGCATACCCGCGAGGCATACTCGCAAGGCATACTTATCAGGCGCACGTCTCATGACTCATATTTGAGCCATGTGCGAAAGTATTACAAATTCCACACATAACAAATTGTATGACTCAAATGAGTCATATGTGTGAAATAATAACATACCTGTAACTCATAACCATGTGTTACGTGAAAACCTTTTCCTCGCCAAGCTACATTCGTGACAATATTATTAGATCTCCTTGTTATAAAGGCTCTCTACCTATCTACCTACCTTTTCCTACTACATGACATGGCCAAGACATCAAGTGTCTTGTAGCATATCCTACTCAAATGGAAACTTCCGAAAATGCGGGCTTTCTTGCCCACCTACTAGAAAAAGAAGGTCGCAAATGAGCAAAGAAGATGTCACAACCTTCAAAGCAGATTACTTCAGAAGACCCAATAGATACCTCTGGAGAACACCCCTCCACAACTCTAAGTTGTTCGTCCTCTCTCCCTCCTGCTCTCCGAAATCCCTTGGGAGAACCAGCAGGTAAAACTTTCATTACCCTACTATCCTCAAAGGCCCCCTCTCTCATTTTAAGACTCTCCATACCATGTCTCAACACATATGCAGCAGACCTCACAAGACTGGCTACTAGGATTAAAATTGTCATAGGTCAAATATGGCAGGATATTTCAACCAGTATTGATACTGCTAACCTTACTTTCGAAACTCTGTCAGCTGACTCACAGGCCAATGCACGGAGGCTGATAGAAGTTCAGCCTAAGTTACTGGAAGGACAAGATATACATGACTATGACATAGCTATTATATTATATCAGTATACTGTGGTGGAAGCAAACATCCGAGAAATCCAAGAATAGATCAACAGGGAAATGGCTGCTAAATTAGCAGCATAAGATGGACGACAAGAGCATCAAGAAGGGGTAATCACCCAACTGAAATGAGTAGCTCTTGAGTGAGATCTCACCCTGTAACGAGCTTTCTAGGAGTTTAGAGTACAACAGATCCAACAGAATCAAGTAATACAAAACTTGATATACAATCTAGCCGTTCATTAAGAATGGAAGGCAGATCACTATGGTGACTTTACCTGTACTATTCAAAGAAATCAAACCCATATATCCAATACCTTATACCTAGTACTTGACAAACTTAAAGCACAAGATAGTGGACAACCAAGCGGTGAGCATGCGAGGTTAGAGTCAGTCTCAGAAAAATAGGAAGATGGTACAGAAGAGGAGGAACTTGAGAAAATCCCTACCTGAAATAAGGGGAAGCAGAGAGAAGCAGAACCCTCAACTCCTATAATACTAAGCGGCAACCCTGATAATCGGAATAATGATGGGGATGACAATAGAAATTAAGGAAAGCATAGAGGAGGACCATCCAGATTTTCACAGGGATGAACCCATAAATAGGATGGAACAGCCTATATACTTGTAAAAATATTGGCTCAAACTGTTAAGTGACTGGCAGACCCACCTCCATTTTTCAAAGCAAAGACTAGTCAATGCATCAACGATTAGTTAACCTAATTGGTTGATTATCTTGAATGCAATCTTAGGATTAGGGATGATGATCGAGAATATATCATCTATATATTGAGCAGAACAAAATGGGAGCAGGTCAGTCTGATAGCAGTATAGTATCGGCGTGTAATGGATACCCTCCATGAAGAGGATCAAGACTTGGAACTGTATTTATGGACTCACTTTGAACATGAATTCACCAGTCAGTACACCTCCCTCAAAGAATGAGGTAAAGCTATCTGGGACATAGAATTAGTCGAGTATAAAAACGATATTCAGATATTTAAGAGAAAAATGCATAATCTGAATCTCCACACTTGACTAACGGGAGCAGCCTGGTGTATGGTGTGTAATAGAAAGTTGACCTCAAAGATTAGATGGCAACTTTTCCTGAACAAATATGATACCGATGGAGAATGGGAAAAGGCAGTCCAAGAAGCAGAAAGGAATTAGGAGAAACAGGACCATCTAGATCAGGATAAGTCAAAACCCGCAAAAACATTTTTTTAGACAAAAAGTCTGCAGACAAGAATCAACCAAAAATAAAAAGGGAAAATGTTAGGAATACCGAGATCTGATACCCAGGAGTCATCCTAAGTAGGATAATCTCACACAGAATCAGAAAATCTGGTCTCCAAGACCCCCCTCTAGCCTACTTATGGGGC